ACCTCCACAGTGTGTTGGATTCAGACTTTGGTGGCTTTCAGTCTGGATGATGGTTTGCTGATATCTTTTGGATTCAATATGGAACAAAAGAAACGGGTGTCCGGAAGACAGCGAAAATATCTGCTTGGATGCGTGGTCATTGTGCTTTCTTTGAGTGTCGCCTCGGCGCAATTGAGGTATTCAATACCCGAGGAAGTTAACGAAGGAACTGTGGTTGGAAATATAGCAAAGGACCTGGGAATAGATAAAACTACATTAGGAGACAGAAAATATCGGATCGTTTCAAGTGATGCTGAGCCCCTCTTCCGCGTGAATCACAACGACGGTATCTTGTATGTAACCCGAAAGATTGACAGAGAAGAAGTGTGCGCGCAAAGCAGTGCGTGTGTGATAAATGTTAAAACTGTCCTGGAAAGCCCACTGGAGGTGCATTACCTTAGGGTAGAGATTTTGGATATAAATGACCATTCCCCTAGCTTCCCGGAGAATGAGACCGTGTTGGAGATATCAGAGTCCGTTTTACCAGGAGCACGATTTCAGTTAAAAGCCGCCCAGGATAAAGACAGTGGTAATTTCTCCGTGCAGCAATATAAACTGAGTCCCAACGATCACTTTCGTTTGGAAGTTAAAGATAAAGGACATGATGGAAAAATTCCGATATTAGTTGTTCAAAAATCCTTAGACAGAGAAAGGACAGGAATTCACTCGCTCAGACTGACGGCCCTGGATGGAGACAAACCTCCAAAATCTGGCCATATGGATATTCTTATTAGAGTTTTGGATATCAACGATAATGCACCGGTTTTCTCGAAAGATGATTATTCTGTGATACTCAAGGAAAATGCTCCAATTGGTACTGCAGTTGTATTGGTGAATGCAACAGATTTAGATGACGGACCAAATGGAGAAATTGTTTATTCGATTAGCAAAAGCACGAATCAAAATATTCTGAAGTTGTTTGCCATCAATTCAGTAACAGGTGAAATAACTGTTGAAAATGTAATAGATTATGAAAACAGGGAAAACTATGAAATAGAAATTGAGGCCTCTGATAAAGGTCTGGCGCCTCTTACAACAGAAAAAAGTGTCATTATTAAGATAGTTGATGTGAATGATAATGCACCACAGATTGAAGTTACATCATTTTCCAGCTCCATTCCTGAGGATTCTAGAGTTGGTTCTACAGTTGCTCTTATCAGTGTCCATGACATGGATTCTGGTCTTAATGGAAAAGTAGTTTGTTTTATTGATGGAGATGTTCCATTTACATTAGCACCTTCTTTACAAGACAAGATGTTTTCACTGGTGACCAAATCACCTCTGGACAGAGAGAAACAGTCTTATTATGACCTGACAATAACTGCAAAAGATGCTGGTCAGCCTCAATTATCATCTGAAAAGACAATAAGTGTAGTGGTGTCCGATGTGAATGACAACAGTCCAGAGTTTTCACTCAGCCCGTATACTTTCTATGTCACTGAGGGTAACAATCCAGGAGCTTCAGTCTTCTCAGTTAAAGCTTTTGATCGTGATGAGAACAACAACGCCCTCATATCCTATCATATTGCCAGAGATGGAAGAAAT